GTCTCTTTGCTCATCTGACCGTCCTGGGGTGTCTTGCTGTCCAGAGGAGCACCGAGATCGGCGTTTCCACTGTGAGTTTTGCAGAGAAACTTTTCTCCATTCACCTCTGCCATTTTTGTGTCCACCATTGTCGATGCGGGAGATCTGAACCAGCCAGGACCCGCGCCACAGCGCCCCCTGCAGCCACCAGAGAATCATCGCACCCGCTCTGCCCAGCCGGGACCCAACAGCGCCCCTTCTGACTGGGACCGTAACTACACCAAAGGGGAGGCTGTGTCTCTGTGAGGCTGTCACTGGGTTTGGGACTGGGCTGGTTGTTGCTATCATTATTGTTACTTGTTTCACTTTGTTATACATATTAGTAAAAAACTGTTATTCCCTTTTACCTATATTCTTGCCTGAAAACCCGTTATTTTCAAAGCTATAATAATTCGGAGGGAAGGGGGGTCATAGCCACCACTCCAAGGGGGGGTCCCTGCCTTCATTGGCAAAGACCTGTCTTTCAAACCAAGACAGATTTTGGCGCCTAATGCGAGGCTCAAGGGCACAGAGAGGAAAAGGGGTACAAAAGGAATAACAGTTTTTGGGTGAGCTATCTTTGTGTTCGGGATGTAGGAACTTTACTAAGCGTCATCATGTGGTCTAGCATAGTTCGGGTGGCACGTACTCGTGGCCGTATTTTTCCCACTTGCATCTCCTTTCCTAAACATGGGTYGTATGACTAAGGCTACCGTGGCCATTATCCAGTTCACACAATGGGTGAATAAGGTGAGGAATCTGTGGATTTTTAACTTTCTCTGGACTGCAGGAACATGRACACAGGACTACCACACACTAAGGGCATGCTTTTGGATCTGGGTTAATAATGGTACCTACTGTGAGGAAAWAACACCAGGGGAGGCTTTCTCCCAACCCTTCACCCATTTATTTGGGGCTACTCCATCAGCATTCGAAGGGTGCATTTTTCCCCTAGATGCTAACTACATGATACTAATATGCATATTCTATTTAGCCTTGAAGGACAAGGTGAGACTGCCCTGGGCAACCACTCTAACATCTGCCCCAGAGATCAGGGATGCTGCCACAGAAACTGGGGATGKTGCTGYAGAGACTAGGGAYGTTGCCACAGAGACTGGGTATGCTGCCACAGAAACTAGGGATGTTGTCTCAGAGACCAGGGATGCTGCTTTAGAGGCCAGGGATGCTGCCCCAGAGGCTAGAGATGCTGCCCCAGAAACTAGCGACACTGCCACAGAGCCTTACCCATCTCACCAAGCCGGACACTGTCCCACTGCCTGACCCTACCCAACAACCTACTTCAGAAACTAACTGGGTTTGGGACTGGGCCGGTTGTTACTATCGTTATTGTTACTTGTTTCACCTTGTTAAACATATTAGTAAAAAACTGTTATTCCCATGGCACCAAGCTCTAGTGAGGAGCAGCAGTATTTAAGAAGACAACACACGCTTCAAATGTTGCCTGTTGCTCAATAGTGCTGCTCTTTCCCATGTATCTTGTGTTATGGGGAATATCAGAGACAGCCGTGGGATGAAAGCTGTATTGGGTCTAGATGCTCTCACAGACTAATACTGAAATAAAGCCCTGAATAGCACTGAATTCCCACCAACTCTGCCACATCCCCTTGTCAGTGTTAGGATTACAGCTGGACTCCATGATCTTAAATGCCTATTCCAACCTAAATGACTGTGATTCTTTGATCATCTCCCTTAGGTATTCCTGTCTGTGCTTGGGTGGGCACAGCAGGAAGGTGCCTTCCAAGGAAAATTATTAAAGCAAACATGGTACTCTTTGTCATTGCTGGCTGTTGGCAGCATTGGACCATCCCACTCAGGCATCTTCACCTTGGAGCAGAGGAGAGACAGCACTACTTTCTCTCTCCTAAACACCGGAACTGCAGAGAAAGGACAACAGGTGGAACAGGGCATGCAGGTGGGAGAGGTGGGAGATGAGAACACTTCAAAGAAGTGCAGGAAATAGCAGATCTCTTCCAAAAAAGAATATAATTTCTCAAAATGAAAACACTGATCATTCAGAAGATAAAGCTGATATTTCCGTTCTGTAGGTGTTAAATACAGAGGCTAAACTCACTGGCTTGGGCTTTCACACGTCTTTACTTGCCACAGGTCACACAGAGGAAAAATTATTTTATGACTCTGCACTGCCACAGTGAGGACCTTGCCTGCGACTTGACATTGCAGCATAAGCTGAGGTAAGTATTGCCAACCTATATATGCAAAGGTATGCCTGCTTCTTAAAAATATGTGATATAGAGACAGTTTTTTGGTACTCTTTCAGACACAGTGTTGGATTATGGAGCAGAATTTGACATACCTGCTGGACAGCAGCAACTCTGAGGACATGCTGGTGAGTCACTCCCTGCTGGGTTGTTCCCCTGCAAGCCAAGGACAGGACCCCATCTTAGGGGTCCAGTTTTTCCTGTGGGGACACATAATACTGGTGGAGTTGATGGGGTTTTAGAAGAAATTGTGATTGTTGTTCTCTGGAAAGAAAGGAAAACAAAGGGTGAAAATGTCTTTAGCTTATGATACTGTGCTTTTGGAAGAAGACTGTCCTTGAGGGTAGAGATAGTGCTGGGAAAGTCTTATGGAGGACGTCCTGACTAGGAAGCTGCCATCCATCTTTTGTAATTGTTTGCTGTCACAGGTACTGCCCAGGGATGTGGTTGCTCCTGGTGAGGTTGCAAGGGGCTGGTGAGCAGGAAGGGGGCACAGCACTACTGCTGGTGCATTCTATTTCTGGCACTCAGCTAACTGGAAACAAGGATTTTAGGAGATGAGTGTTAATATGTCACTTTTGCCCCTTTCTTGACTCAGAAGGAAACATAAAATAGGACCCCAAAACCCATATGGGCTTTGGGCTCCTGGCCATGCCCATGTCATTGCTGGTTTGGGGATGCTTCCTGTCTCTGGCCCCAGTGACATCCCACCTGGACTCAGGCATGGGGCATGCCCCCACACGGAGCCAGCAGGAGGATGCTGGTAACCTATACCAGCACAGCTGCATTTCGCTTGATCTCCTTTGCCCCTCTGATGCAAGGATGTCATCATCCCAGGTCTTGCAGGGGATGGCTAGTCACTCATGTTCMTTCCTCATTTGCATCCTGTASCACAGCTGTAGCACAGCTGTTTCAYCCTCACACAGATTGGTGTAAGSTGACTCTGCTTGATGTATTTACTGAGAGTAAATGTGGGATTTGGGTCATATGAATTTCATCGTCCTTGAACAGGTGGGTTCCACATCACCAACACCTAACTCCTCTGCCTATGAATATGCCTTTGACTACTCAGAACTACACATCATCTGTTATCCTGAAAGTATTCCAGCATTTGCTTCTACCTTGTTTCCAGTGCTCTACTCCCTGCTGTTTGTGACAGGCCTCATGGGAAATGCTTTGGTCCTTTGGATTCTGACAGTCTTCATCAGAATCAAGACCATGACTGATGTGTATCTGCTGAATCTGGCTGTCTCCGACCTCCTTTTGGTATTCTCCCTGCCCTTCTTGGTTCAGTACTCCATCATGAGCCAGTGGACTTTTGGAAATGCACTGTGTAAAATCATCAGTTCAATTTACTTCATTGGTTTCTACAGCAATGTCTTCTTCATAACCATCATGAGCATCGACAGGTACTTGGCYATAGTCCACTCTCACCATGCTCAAGGGATTCGGACAGCTGCCCGTGGGGTCCTCAGCAGTATGGTTGTTTGGGCAGTTGCCATTTTAGCATCAATGCCAGACTTTCTTTTTTTCCAGGAAGTGAACGACAATGATCAGATTAAGTGTCTCCCTCACTATCCTGGTGGCAACAATGGCTGGAAAATTCTCAGTAATTTTATAGTCAATATCCTGGGGTGGCTCATCCCTGTTGGTGTCCTCATTTTCTGCTACTGTAGCATCTTGAAAAACCTGCAAAAGTGCCATACCAAGGACAAGTACAAAGCAATAAAACTGGTTTTTACTGTAGTCATTGTGTTCTTCCTCTCCTGGACCCCTGTCAACATTGTGCTTTTTTTGGACTCTCTGAGGAACATGTCCATCATCAACGACTGCCAGACAAGCCACAGGCTAGACCTGGCCATAGAGCTGACTGAGGCACTCTCCTTTGTCCACTGCTGCCTCAACCCGGTCATCTACGCCTTTGTGGGTGTGAAGTTCAGGAAGTATCTCCGAGAAGCTTTCAAAAAATCTGCATGTTTTCTGGTGAACTGCAAATACTACAGGGCTTTCAGTGGGCACAGCCTGGACAGGCACTCCTCTCAGAACACAAAGTCTTCACAGCTGTCTTTTGTTGGTCCTGTCTTGTAGAACTAGTCCATGGAATGATAGTCCAAAACTATCATTCTGGACAGGTGACCTATGGTTGAGAAATCCTCAACTGGTCATTCACAACTGTGGACTGTTTGCACAGCATTTTAGAATGTGAGAAGTGGAAGCAGGTGTTTGATTTTGCTTTTATCGCTGATGCTTTTGGTGCTTTCACTTTTTAGTCTCGTTTTAGCATCATCCTCCCTTTCCCTTGGCATATCCTGYCCTGCTTACTTTGTGAAATTACCARCAGACTCCCACACTGCCTGARCAACATGGAGAGRTACCTTAGAAACATAACTTMCCCCCTTCAGACTCAGTACTGTTTGTGTTTCCAAACCTTGGACACTCAACAGCCACTCCTTCCTTTGTCTCAGCAGAGAGCATTGGCTCTGTGAGCAGGATGGAAGTGACTGCAGGAGTGGGAACTTGCTCTTTGGAGGGAAACAGTGCCCAGGTTTATGGTATCATGCCAGGGACCGGCTCACAGTTGACCAATCTGAACAATAATTCCAGCCCCTAAAGAGCTTAGTAAGTAATTGTATAAGCAACCAAAAAATAAATGCTGTCCATATGTTTTGGTGAAATCAATATGAATTAATATCTGGATATTATCCTGACTGTCCATCTGCTACCCAGGCCTGCCGCTTCTTGGCTGGAAGGGCTTGGAAGCTGTAGCCTAGAAATCACACAGTGGGTGTTAAGAAACACCTACAGGAATGAATGAGTGCTGTAAGAATGGATGGAAATACTTACCAGGAAAAGGCTGAAGAGTAGAAAAAATAGTGGGTGTGAAGTGTCACATGTCTCCATGAGGGAACTCTTTGAACATTTTTGAACTTTTTGAACTGATGTGCCAYTGTGGTCACTGCCCTTGAGCATGTGACTGGGGTTGACTTTCCAGTTACTGTTTCAACTTGGAATGACTGATTTTATGTATCTGAATGGTTACCCATTCATATAAATATATCTATATGTATCTATATATAGAGAGGTATGTCAAGTACATGCATATCTGTACTTGCACATGTGTGTATATACACACAAATATATGTATACCCATATATACACACATATATGCTTTTATATGTGGAAATATTGTTAGATAAATGAAATGGTTTTCAGAAGCTTTTTGTTCTGTTCTATTTGTCCCTACAAGACATAACTGTATTTGAAGATTTATAATAAAGATACTGTGTGCAGTGTAATTGCACAATCTTCACACCCGAGGAACCTGTTTCATCATTATTTGTGTCAGCATCTGCATTTTATTCTGTCCTGGACAGATCTACAAAACTGGTAGTCCATCTAGCTGCCTCTTCTCTGCCTCCTCTTCAGTTCAGCACTGCCTGTGTCCCAGCAGCAGGAAAACAGCCTGGTGCAGCAGTTTTCAGGTGCCTTATTACCAGCCAGGCTTTTTTTGATATGCAAACCCTCAAGTACTCTAGGAGGGGATTCACAAAAATTCAGAACAAAGCCAGAGGGTGGTGGGTAAGAGGATGGCACCAACTTTCTCCCCTGCAGATAAACAACAAGAGCCCTCTATAGCACAATTCACTCAGCTGAAGCACAAGAGATGCGAATGGTTTCTGCAGCTTCACAGCCTCATCCTGCACTTGTTGTGTGAGTGCTCTGGGACRGGTGCTGGAAGCCATTTGCCCAAGCTGGCAAGATGATGATGGCCATTCTCTGGTTGCTGAGCATCTCAGCTGGGGGATATTTCCCTCTTCTCAGCAGTTTTATCATTTGCTGTTGTAACAGCAATCAGTTTTTTGGAATGAAGCTGTGACCCAGGGCTTCCCTACAAGGGCTGTAACCCAGTGGCATGAGGGGAGCTGAAACATGCAGAGCCTTCTTTGCAGTCTTTCACTTCTCTAGCTCTCACTGGAGGACATCCTGCCCTGCTGTTCCCTCAACACCATTTGCAAGCCCTGCTAGCAAGGAGGCAGGAGATGYTTTCTGCAGCTTAAAGGTGTTTCTGCCAGAGGCAGCTGGCTTCTGTTTTATCAGTAACACCAGTCGCTCTGAATTGGACCTGACCTCAGCTTCTCCTCACTTCCTAACTGCTTTAAGCTGCTATTGCTGCCTTTGTGTGCAAAGGGAGAAGGTGAGACCCACATCCGGAGAGTGCTGGGCTGGCAAGAGCTACCCAGTGTTGCTCTGGGTGGCCAGGGGCATCCCTGTAGCTCACAAAGCTTCTCTGCTTTCTGAAGGGACAAGTCTGCAGCAGTTTGCTGCCCTTCCAGTGCCTGTGAGGGCATTGAGAACAGAAGGCATCCTCCTGCACCTGTGCAAGCTGACAGACACCTTGAGAATAATGCCAAATGTCAGGGTTTTCCCAAGAGCAGGAAGCACAAGGAGCTGAGTCTGAACCATCGTGCACAGCTCCAATGCCTGTTCACCTACTTGTATTACAAGTACCCACTGCAGTTGTTATATTGTTTCTGCTCATATCTGCTGCTTACCTTCATATCCTTGCTTTTTCTTTTTGCTCAGATGATGCAGGTTAAAGAGGATTCAGGATGATGTTGGCRCATGAAACAGCCAGATAAAATCTTGTTCTGACTTCAGCACATCATCTTAAAACAGAGACCAGAGTTACCAATGTTACCCACATTCAAGCSTAAACTTAAAATACATAATTGTTTTCTTTGGATTTATGGGTGTTACTTGCACCAGAGGGTCCCTTCTACAGAGTGTGGAAAGATGGACAGTTTGTATGATGCCTCTCATGATGCTCTGAATGTCTGGATGGAAAGGCCTTGTCAAACTAGAGTATTTCAATGTCATCAGGGGGCTCATCACTTTCCACGCTGGGCAAACCTGTGCAGCAGTTGTGTGGGTAGGTTTAAGGACCATGCTGTTGAACTACACCAGCAGAGAGTGGGATGTATGAATTGTTGGCTTATGGTGTTGGTAGATCCCTCAGAAAATAGTGTGAATTGGGATCTAGCAGATTGTTCTTCATCTCAGCTCTGAGCTGCAGGGCTGCCACTTTAGTACAAGGAATGATAGGCTCAGCCTCTTGTCTCAAAACAGTATCCAGAGTAAGAAACTAGTCCATATCTGGCTTTTTCTGGCATTATGCTGAAGCCTCTTTCCCAAGGCAGCATGGAGACAAGCTTACTAAATCCTTGGCAGAATCTCTGGTCTTCAGGTCATGTGTTCAGGGCACTGCATGCAGTCTGGGGTGAGAACGGGACTGACTTGATGCTTTCTGGAGCAGCCCTGCCAGCCAGCAGCACAGCTCTGTCTCTTTCTGCAGTGGTGACATCCAGCTACACCTGAAGATCAGAACCAGTCAAAACTTTAAGGAGGGAAAAAGGAAAGGTTAATCAAGGATATTTGTGTCCCACACTTGTCTCAGTTGAAGGATGCTCCTGCACAGGGATGGGCCTACATTAGCATGCACAAAACTCCGCAAGCCCAATCCTGAAGTTGATTGTATCATGTCCAGGATGATTCTGTTTTATTTTCAGCCTCTTGAAACACTGTTGTTATATATGTATACCAGTTAYGAAGCAGCCAGAAGAGGATCCAGAAAGGATYGTGACAGAAAAAAAACCCACTTTASGTATACTGTCTGGACTTTRRGTATACTGTCCAGATGTAAAAATAGCTTGGGAAATTGAAAGGTAATTATAACCTTAGTCTGAATATGCCAGRTTTAGCTGTAGTGTGTGGGCTGATACTCATATTTGGTTAATATACCTTAAATGTCAATGTCCTATAACGGCTGAAAGTAATACCGGGCCAAGCAAAGCTGCTGCCGTAGTGCGTCAGTTTTGACGCACGGCCTCTGAACAATATGCTTCTGTTCTAGGTAAATCTGTGTTCCTACTGACTTGRCTGAAATGCCAAAATGTACAGAGACAGGTCACAGAAATCCCCACCTCAGAATAGCACTGATTTGGGCTCCTACAGCCTCTGCTGACGTGTGCATCTGCTGGGGCCTCATTCCGACCCCGCTGTGCTCTTGTCCCATGGCCCTCAGGTCTGCCGTGTTTTCCAGCAGTCAGTGCAGCCAGTGTAATGCTGGCATCAGCAGCTGGGTCAGTCTTCACACTTTTCTCTATGCAAGAGAAAAATATGACCAAGCAAACAGCAACGTCTGCGGTGTYGCCCCATGCAAAAGTTTTTCCTCACCTTGCTCCAATATCCAGACAGACTTCCCACTAACATTAATGAATGTGCAACATGTGGGTCTTCATCACCAAGACATTCATCCCTTTCTACAYSTGGCACCCTTGGAGGATGTGCAGTYTGTAATCCTCCACATGCTTGAGGTTAGAGAATGTGTGAATGCATGTGCAGAATGTAAGGATGGACAGGAAGGGAGGGAGGGAGGAGGGAAGGAAGGA